CTTCTTGCCTCCTTTTGCGAGACTAGATTTATGTTGGGGTACCTATGCCGTGCGACTGCTATTTAACGTGAGAATCCCTTCCTAGACTGTGGACCAGCACTTGATCTTCTCAGTAACCCCTCCCTGGGAACCGTAATCCTCTTTCTGAAACCCTATTCTGGGTCTGTGCCATTTACATAGAGTGGCCCAGTGGCCAGTTTAGATGAGACAGTTCTGGTTTATGCCTTAGTTCTGATACAGTTATAAGACTGCTTCTTTAGGCTGCCCCGGTGGCGCAGTGGTTGAGTCTGCCTGCCGATGCAGGCGACACAGGTTTGTGCCCCGGTCCGGAAGGATCCCACATGCCACGGAGCGGCTGGGCCCGTGAGCCATGGCCGCTGGGCCTGTGCATCCGGAGCCTGTGCTCCGCAGCGGGAGAGGCCATAACAGTGAGAGGCCCGCGTACCGCAACAACAACAACAACAACAACAACAAAAAGACTGCTTCTTTCACTTTCCAAAAGTGTCTAGTTTGGATTTTAAAAATGCTCACCCTACTCCTACAATTATGGACATGCCTCTCCCATAGCGAGAGTTGTACTCGTTATGCTGATGTCTCCATTCCTTAAGGAGACAAACACCTACAGGACAGAGTTCCCCAGGACACCTCTTAGCACTAACCCCTGTTGATAAGACTCTGTCCATTTCTTTTTCCGACCTACTGAATAGATAAAATGATAGATGCTGATGAAATCCAATCCTTTCAGATCTACCTACCTACAAATAAATTGCTGTGCCTCACCTAGGCATCCCAAGACACAAAGTAAGGATAAAGCGGAATGTGACCTCATCAGGCAATTTGGCTAATGGCAAAGGAAAGGTCTCTTTCCTCTCCTCCCCCATTGTAATCCCAGGGAAGCTGTTGATACGAGGTTTACGAATCTGTAAGACTGATTCCAGGGTCTTGTCTGACCTGCCCAATAGCCGTCTAAACTGCAGACCCAGGTAATCAGCCACCACCTTACCTGGGGATAAGAGAGTCAAAAAGAGGAGCATGGAGAGAAGCACATGGAGTCTCATGGATGAACGGCAGCTGAAGGGAAGCGTCATCAACATGGTCGGGGCCTGGGGTCACTGAGCATGGCAGATCCATGGCCTTTTATGATGCTCCCTGGACCTGTGGTTTGTTCATGATTAGTGGAGTCTAACAGAAAGAGAATTAACTCAGTCTTCCACAGGAAATCTCCAGGGACAAAAGTATGCAATGTGGTGGTAACTCAATGGATGAGAAAGCAGGAGTTAGTGTTATGCGTCTCCCACAGATTTAGGATATCCGCATGGTCTGCTGGGTTCCTTTATGGGAAGACCCATGTGGCAGGGGACTGATGACGTTAGCAAATGGCCAGTGAAGACGTGAAGCCTGTGAACAACTGCATGAGTGAGTGAGTGAGCTTGGAAGCAGATTCCTTTGCACCCCAGCCTTCAGATGAACCTCCAGTCAGGCCCCCAATTTTACAGCAACCTTGTAGGAGCTCTTGAGCCAGAGACACTTATCTGTCTCACCACGTATATTACGTTAGTAACTGCTTACTGTTTTAAGCTACTGACTCTTGGTAATACGCTATATAGCAACAGATAGCGAATAATACACGTACGCATCTGTCCTCTAGCAAACATGCTTTAATAGGGCACAAGTTCAGGTGGGAGGATCATGAGGGTGTTACAATTGTATTTCAGGTCTTTTCCAGCCATATGTTAAAAAGATAAATGTATAACAACATTTAAAGTAGCCGTGGAAGTGACCCTATCTACCTTGCATACAATTATGTGTGCGAGTTTGTGTGTGTGTAAGAGAGAGAGATGGGGTTGGGAGACCGGGGGAGGGGATGGGCAGGAGAGAGAATGAATGAGAGAACAGAATGGGAGAATGAGGGAAAGAGAAAGAATAAAGAAATATGAAGCAATCATTAGTTCAAGAGTATTCCCTGTGATAAACAAACACATGATGGTTCTTTTTCAACTTTATGCTGATTGTTGGAAGAAGGAAAAACAATGAATACTCCATGATAAATGTCTCTGTAAGAGACATTTCAGCTCCTATATATCTGTATCTATCTATCTGTATCTACCTATCTATCTATATCTATCATTTATCTATTATTTATTATCTATTGTATCTATCAGTCATCTATAATCTGTCTATATCTATTGAGCTCTGAGACTTAAGCAGTCCAGAGGCGACCTTCTTCCTCCTTCTCTTCTGCTGGTTCCAGCCCATGGCCCACCTATTCCTTTTCTTTGCTTATATGTCTTCATCTTTCACTTTGATCCCTCCTTCTGAGTCCTCTGTGGAAGAGATTCCCAATTTGCAGTTTCACCTCTAACTTTTCAACCCCAAATGGTCATTTGAAAATATCTGCTTATTCAGTTTTCAATAAAGTTATTTGTCAGTCATCTTATATCTGAGTATACTATCTTCCAGTCACTCTTCTGAGTTTCCGGTCTAAAACACACGTAAGCCACATAACTACTCACAAGGATCTTAAAGTTTTATGGGAAGAGACAAACATAGGAAAAATGATTATACCAAAATAAGTGGAAAGTTAAAGCATGACTATTTGGAAACACGGGGTTACAGAGAAAGAGGACTAATTCTTTTTGTGAAATTAGTCAAAGTATAAACAAAAAACCCACAACATAACACCAACTTTACAAAAGAAATCATGATTATATATATTTATAAATGAAAAATGATTTGTGAGGTGAATCTGAGGACTAGAGATGAGAGTGGAGGGGAATTCAGACAAATGAAATAACATGAGGAAAGACGCCAAGATGTGATGACCACGGTATACTGATGGTGGTGGGTTAAAGCACAGTGATGTTAGCTGAAGCGATCACGCCCGCAGTCTGGTGAGGAGAATCAGAGGCGCCCATGAGTGCCCTGACAGCACATGCTAAGGTAGGAGGGGCTGTATGCACTGGCTTGTCCTCATAATGGAATGGACAAACTCGTCTGAGTTTAGACACCTGTCTTTGGGCAACGAAGAAGACAGACAGGAAGGGGCGGCCTGGAAGGGAATGATCACTGGGACTGAGCTGAGACAGAACAACTGGACGGCAAACTCTGGGTTAAGAGAAGGTGACAAGTGAAAGGAATATGGAAGAGCTATAACTGACTATACTTAATGAACAAATGGATGCACTGGGTTCCTGAATAAAGTAAAAGGGCATTCACCAAGAAAGGAAACACAGGGATGAGAATGTTTGGTTTTGTGTTTCTTTGTTTGAGATTTGGACAGGAACAAAATGAGGTCCCCTTTCAACATCGTAATGTTGTGACTAAAATCAGGTCATAAGGTTTTTTGCGTTTTTTTAAACAAGTTTTTTCCAGCCTTATTGTCAAATAAACTTTGTATGTATTTAGGGTGTACAACATGATGATTTGATATACATATATATTTGCAACAAGGTGGATGAACGTGGAGACATTATGCTAAGTGAAATGAGAAAGATAAATACTGCATGATTTCACTTACATGTGGACTCTAAAACAGTTAAACTCAATAGAAATATTGAGTAGAATCATGGTGACCAAGAGCTGAGGAGTGAAGGAAATGGGAGATATACATATATGTGCGTGTGTGTGTGTGTGTGTGTGTGTGTGTGGAAATACACCTCCATGGAAACTTTACTGCATTTACCATTTTCACTGCCTACAATCATCAGTCCCCTATGTGTGATAGTATGCTGGAGTAACCCCAAATCATTATTTTGAAGGTCAAGTTTATTGGCGAGAAAATGAGTCCTTATCTGGAAGAAAACGTGGTTCACACTAGCAGGCAATGCTTCCATCTCCGATCCAGTGACACAGTGTCTGGTCAAGTGTATATATGCTAAGTATTTGTAGCAAGCAAGAGTGCAAATGGCTCTTTTTTTCCATTTGTGTTATTTCACGTGAGGACAATATGAGCTGTGACTCGTTTTGTCATTTTCCAGAATCCTTTAGAGAGAAGAGTCTGTGAAACTTCAGAAGAAGTTGAAGATAGTCTGGAAACGGAAGCTAGCATGTTCTAAGAATAAAGATAAGACCTTTGAGAGGTGCCCGAAAGACATACACCGTCCCCTTTGTGATGTCACACCCCCTCCATTTTAGTACGACCTTATGACTTTGGATTTTAGTTAACTAGCTTTCTTTGAGAACCCAGATCTCTGAGGGGCTCTTAAAAACTGTGATCTACAAATTACCCAGCTTGCTCTCTTTGTCAGGGCAGGAACATAATTCTTTGCTCACATGGGTGACTCCAATAGTCCCTGAGGATCCAAGTATGTTATTTATTCCATTAACTTGTACTCAACGGCGTCTGGCCTTCCTGATCTTCTTTCATAATGAATTCATTGCTTATACTCAGCCTGCCATTTTCTTACAGTCTCATTTGACAATGTGTCTCTGCTACCAACCAAAGCTACTGCTCTGAAACCTCTTCCCTCTTTGTCTCGGTTCCTGGGTTCCAGTCTTAACCAGCTGGCAATGTGGCAAACCCGAGTCAGTCCCCCATTAGGACGGGTGATGATAGCACTGACCTTCCGGAAAGCCCTGCACTCACCAAGCTGACCAATACAGAGGGCCTACTGCTCAAGCTTCAGTTCACAGACTTTTCTCCTTGAAGAAGGGAGTATTTCAGGAAATTGCCCTACCATTTTCAAGAACAGAAAAATTTCAAAGATATTCTCTAGGGTCTATTTTTTCTATAACAGCAGTCATTTGAGAGCATTGAACCTGTAATCTTGGCAAAGTTTAAATCTTTCTTTCAACCTGATCATGTTTGGTTTGCATCTTTCAGTTATTTCTGTTTCTGATACATTGATGGTACCCGGGGATTTCTGGCACCCCTATAGATTCTCTCAAAATGCTACTTACACCATTCCAATGGCGTCTGGGGAGTTACAGAAGGAGAGGAAACACAGCAGGCTCAAGCCCTCACTGACTTTCCTCCTTATGACTTTTGGCGTGGTTCAAACATGTCAGAGCTATGTTCATGTAGTGCCGACCGTGGACGTTCTTCTTTTCTTTCTGACCGTCGTGAGATCGAGGTTGATATTGTACTATGAGACACTAAATGGATTTTTGTGTTCAGACAAACTTTAACTTGGTTAAGGCAATACCGTCCTCTTCCTAGTTAAAAAATAATGTTTCTCAGGTGTCAATGTTTATTTTCCTTTCCATTCTCCCCTCAGATACACATTTAAGTTACTTGATTAAGTGGGTATATTGTCTACGTCATTCTGTCACAGTGAACAGGAACATCATCACTAAATTTTAATCTAAAAATATTGACTTATTATTCTTGGCTAGGAATGGTCTCGATAGGCAAATATAAATAAAACTAATGTGATGACACCAAAAACTATCTTATTTAATAGACCCCATAATTATTAAATGGACCTTGAGTTATTTCTTGAGTGGTAAAACCTTGACACTATGCAAATTCTCAACACACAGATGAGTCCAAAGTGAAGCTATTAACTGTCCGTTTCCTAACCCTTGTTTTAGGTGGATTTTCTACTGGAGGGCCAGTTTATGTTGAGGACTGTGGCATCAGCTCTACCACTAGAGAGTTATTTATTAAATTAGCTTTTCTACCATACAAGTCATCTGGAGGATAAAATGGTCTGGACACAATGACCAATTTTCAGCGTTCTAATACCCTTTACTTTTTAGATACAACTGAAAGGATTATTTAGAATGTCCACAAACTTACTTTTCCTCTAATTGATACACTCCATGATGAAAACTTCTCCGTCCTTTGAGTTAGGTAGATCACATCTACATTTGGAAAGAAAAAATAACTTCTTCTTTCTGAGCTCATTGAAGCATGAAGAGATTGAGAGGTTTTCTATTTGTTTAGAATAAACCTGTACCACGACTGAGTACCCACAGGCTCTTTTTTCCTGAAATCCTCCCCTACCCCTTATCTAAAGGAAAGAGGAGGTGAAATGTTAAACTTTTCTTTTTTTTTTTAAAGATTTATTATTTATTTATTTTTGGCTGCATCGGGTCTTAGTTGTGGCAGGCGGGATCTTCGTTGAGGCAGGCGGGATCTTTTGTTGAGGCACGTGGGCTTCTCTCTCGTTGTTGCGTGCAGGTTTTCTCTTCTCTAGTTGTGGCATGCAGGATCCAGGGTGCGTGGGCTCTGTAGTTGTGGCGCATGGGCTCAGTTGCCCCACGGCATGTGGGATCTTTGTTCTCTGACCAGGGATCGAACCCGCGTCCCCTGCATTGGAAGGCGTATTCTCTACCACTGGACCACCAGGGAAGTCCGGAAATGCTAAACATTTTAAGAAAAGAACGAGCACATAGAAGTGACGGAAGGCAGCTACAATGACAGCTGTATGGATCTGCAAGCTTCCTGTGACCTACAAGTGCAAAGTGACCTTGATCCTGTTTAACCAAAGTCACCTCATTTCTCATCAAACTTATTTTTTTCCCAATATGCTCCATCCACACAGGTCTTTCTGTTCTTCAAGTAAACTAAGCAAGGGACCTTGCTCCTGCTATTCTACATGCCTACCATACCCTCACGTGGGTATCTGCCTGTCTTTCTCATTTTCAGCATTCACATCTCAGCTCAAATGCTGTATCCTCAGAAAGCCTTTCTCGGTCCATTTTATCAACTCCACCCTCCAGACTATATCTGGCCCATTACTGTATTATTGTGTTCTGACCACTTATCACTTTCTGAAATTACCTTATCATTCTATTTTTGTATGGTCAGATTTTCCTCACTGAATATAAGTGCTGTGAGAATATTTCTGCCATTTCCGCTGTTCTATTGCTAGTACAAAGAAAAATGCCTGGTGAATAGAAGACATCTGGCAAATATTGGTTGAAGATCCATAGAAAGGATTAAAATAATAAAGACACTGGTGTATTTAGAACATATATTTTGTCCATCCCCTCGTTGTTTCACTTTGACATTTACCAAAGTTATGTTTGAAGACTAAATTAACAAAATGCCAAAAACATATAAGAAAAGGAGGGAGGGGTTTGTTAATATTTTGGCTGTTGGGTAAAAAGGAGTCAGTGAATGTGACGAAGCAACTGAATGGACCCTTTGTCCAGCTTCTTTTCTCCATGTAGAAATGCTCTTCCTAGAACTCTTCTACTCTCACGCTTAAGTTTACAGGTTTATATTCCATTCATGGACTAATGATCTCACTGACTCTTCTTCTGCAGTAAGAAGTGCTTTGGCTTCTGCTGAAAACCACTGTTTCAATCTCTCTGGCCTTTGCAGAAGAGACACCTGCAAGATAACAGGATATAATTGGTGCCTACCGAAGACGGTGGAAATGCTGTCGCCAGTGGTGGATTCTTCTGCCAACTCCAACGTCCATTATCTATTCAGATTATCAACCACCCATTAAGCATAAATTGAAATGAAACTTGGAAAAACATCAAAAGGAAACGTCTTTGTATCTAAAAATTTAAAATATACATATTAAACACTGCTAGCTTTATTATCAACTTCTATTATCCCTTGTCAAGAAAAATAAATAAATACATATTGATTTAAAATCTACCCAGACACTACTTCTTTGTGACTCATTTTCAGATCCAAACAATCTCTTTAGAGGTAAGAAAGCCCATTTATTTGACAAATTTTTAAAAAATTTGTCACAGATAGATCAAAAGATTAACCAAGTTGCAAAGATGAAAATATAGTTATATGCAACATAATTAAATAGACGCACAGAGAGTACAAAGGAAATGCAAAGGTCAAATATAGAAGAAATCTAGAAAATATCAGGGAGGGGAGGAGATGTAAACAGGGAAAGGGGAGAAAATTGGAATCAGGCAAGAGGAAATAATCTGGGATGATATGTAAGGATTGTAACTGCATGGCAGATAACTGGAAAGATGAAAACAAGGAGAATGAAAGGTTGAAGACCAACAGAAGTAAGTACCCTAACAAATAAAACCTCAATTAACAACAACAACAAAGATTTTGATATTCTACCGCTGTGAGGAAACATTGTGATCATTTAGAGATTCTCAATATTTTACTCCTCAACACAAATAATTCCCTTTTATAGAACCTAAACATTTTACTGTAAAAAACATAGTAACCTCTTCCAAGGGTCTGCTGTCAATACCCCTTTTAAATCGATTTTTGATGCTTCACAACTTGCGCTACAACTTCATCTTCCTCCCTAGTGTCATAAGGTCTCACTTTCCTTTCCTGAATGTCCTTAGGACTTGAGTAAACTATATACCTCAAAGCAGTTCTTAGAAGGAGTCTTACTTTTCAGTCATATATAAAACCTCGATGATTAAGGAAATGTGCTCTGGTAGTGAAGACTCCCTTTCTCTCTTCCTATAATGCAGTATTTATGAAGTCTTTATGTTTTGGTTTTTTTTTTTTTGATTCTCAGAGTATGGACATTTCCCATAATAATTTGGTATAATCTTTACTCAATTTAGGGCAAAATTGACCTTAAAACAGCAGAGGTATACTGTAGGTAAGGAACTAAGTGTGTAAGTGGTGAGACAGCTTAATGGTTTGCTTTCATTTCTCCCTCCCTACCTCATCTCCACCATCTGGCGAGAATATGGATATAAGCACCTCACCTGAGTTGCGTTTAGTTTACAAAGACTATGTCCTTTTTGGATACAGGTGGGAAACCGGGACTCTCTACCAAGTCAATCTCGCCCCTATATTACTGATCTATACCTGGACTCCGCAGAATTGGGTGCCTCAGCTTAGACTAGCTGCCTGTGAGCGCTCGTGAGTCTCAGAGCTCAGAAGAGGTCCTCAATCTGGCTTTAGCTCATTTAAAACACCATGGCACCTGTTATCTAGAATTCGGAATTTGCTGGCAAGTCCGCTTGTTTTCCTGATTTATCATGGAAACATGATGTCTTAAATAACTAAGGAAAAAATACCTTAAAGACTGTTATCCTAATGAGATGCAATCACAGTTCTGGGCTGCGGATGGGGGATTATAAGAGAATAGCAAAACCCTTACAGGTACGTAGGAAAGATTTCAAAACCTTAAGAGAACAGCAGGCTTCGACTACATTACAAGTGCTATCAAAACAGGATGAGCAGACTCTCTAGTCCCTAGAAGAAGCAACCTCATGGTGTGTTCCAAAAGACTCTGGAAACACTGATGTATTCATCATAGTTTTTCTCTTTTTTCTCTTGCCAAATATAGAATAATCTCCTGACTTGTGTCTGTCTCCCTACAAATACCTTTTAGTTAGTCATGTACAGTAATAAAGTCTTGTCTCTGGCATTTTTTCATCCTTTTTAATAAAAATATCCTTCTTATACTTAATTTACATCAGTCCTTAGCATCCTGTCTAAATCCTTTTGACGGTTGGACATGCCACACTTGCTCTAATAATTCAACATGTTGGCTAACTTCTGTGGGAGACATTGTGTGTGTGTGTTTCATGCTTCCAATTCTTTTGTTCAGACTTTAAACGCTAGAATAGGAATATCTGAATAGAGAGGATCGTCATAAATATTCCAGGAAGCAAACCTGCAGAACAGCAGGTCCCAGACCCCCTCTTCTCACACAAAGGCTAATTTAACAACTATACACGGATGGAAAGATCTTTATGAGAGTCTGGAGTCCAGTCAAGAGATCCAGGCGTAAGTCCCATTCTCCAGACACTCCTGTTCAGGGCTGGGGCCTCCGAGGTTCCAAGCAGCCCCGCCCCCACAGCTCCCTGCATTGAGGGGTACACGGGCCGCTCTCCTGAGCTATAATTGCATGCCTGGAGTTTGGGGGAACCATGCGCATATGGCTCCACTGGGCTTTGCCCTAAAGGGGGGCTGTCAGTGGTGATCACGCCTCAGCAGCAGTTCTCTGCCTGGGACCCACAGCTCTCTAGAGCATCTTCTGAAATCTAGGCAGAGGCAGCCATGCACCCACAGCTTTGCTGTGCACAGCACACACCACATCAAGGACTTCTGGAGCTGTACCTGGGGCTGCTGAGGACCACAGCAGCAGGGAGAGAGTCCGTAATGTGAGGTGGCACCAGGCAGCAGGTGGCCCCTCTTTTGAAATCATTCTAACCCCCAGACCTTTGTACTCTGGGATGCAAAGCGATTGGAGGGGCAGCCTATGGTCTCTGAAAGTAATTTTTCCATTAGACAGTAGGTCCTGCCTTCTGACATCAGTATCCTATTTTTGGTTATTGAGATGGTTATATAAGTCGTTCCTGACTTCAGTCTCCCTCACAAGAAGACAAACTAGCAAATATCCACAGATTAGACACCACTGCAGAACAGGGGGTGAGTCTGAAGAAATTCTTTGGACCGCAAACACTGAGAAGGATGGTATTAGAAGGTAAATGGATCGCTACACTCTAACCTCATCACCCCTCCCCGAGGCTGGCACAGAACCAGACCAAGAAAGCCCCCGTGGACCTATGATTCTCCAGTGGGAAAAAGAGAGCCTGATGTGGACATCTAGCTTCCCAAGCATCATGGCCACTTCCCAGGAGGCCCTCAACAGAAGGGCAGAATTCTCAACAGAAACTTCTCAGACCAGGAGAGGATGAAATGATATATTTACCCCACTCTCAACAATGGATAGATAGGTGCACATGTAGCATTTTCTCAACTAGATAACATGTTAGGCCACACAACAAGTCTTGGCAAATTCAAGAAGATTGAAGTCCTACGTATATTCTCTGACCACAGTGGTATGAAAGTAGAAATCAGTAACAGGAGGAAAACTGGAAAATTCATGAATACCTGAAAATTAAACAATACTCTCCTGAACCACCAATGTATAAAAGAAGAAATTAAAGGGGAAATTATAAATATATCTTGAGAGAAAAAAATGGAAACACAATATACCAAAACTTATTGGATGCGGCAAAAGCTGTTCTAAGAGGGAAGTTCATAGCCATAAATGCCTGTATTAAGAAACAAGAAAAAACTCGAATAAACAACCTAACTCCATGCTTCAAGGAACTAGGAAAAGAAGAATAAACCAAGACCAAAGTTAGCAGAAGGAAGGAAATAATAAAGACTAAGGCAGAAATAAATGAAATAGAGAACAGGAACATAATAGAAATGATTAACAAAACTAAGAGTTGGTTCTTTGAAAAGATAAACAAAACTGACAAACCTTCAGCTAGGCTAAACAAGGAAAAAAAGAGAGAGGATCCATATCAACAAAATTATGAATGAAAAAGTAAACATTACAACTGAGACCACCAAAATCCAAAGGATCATAAGAGGCTACTATGATAACTCTATGCCAAGAAACTAGACCTAGAAGAAATGGATAAATTCTTAGAAATATACAACCTACCAAGACTGAATGAAGAAGAAATAGAAAATCTTAACAGACCAATTACTAGAAGGGATATTAATTCAGTAATCAAAAACCAGATGGCTTCACTGGTGAATTTTACCAAACATTTAAGGAAGAATTAATGCCAGTCCTTTTCAAACTCTTCCCCAAAACTGAAGAGGTGAAAACACTCCCAAACTCATTTTATGAGGTCAGCATTATCCTCATACCAAAGCCAGAAAAGGACACTAGAAGAAAACTACAGACAAATCTACCTAAAGATACAAAAATCTCAATAAAATACTAGTACTAAATTGAATTCAGCAGCACATTAAAAGAATCATTCACCATGATCACATGGGATTTATCATTGGGATACAAAGATGGTTAATAACATGCAAATCAATAAATGTGATACATCAAGTTAATAGAATGAAAGATAAAAATCATGCAATCATCTAAATAGATGCAGAAAAAGCATTTGACAAAATTTAACATTCATTCATGATAAAATCTTGTAACACCTTAGGTATAGATGGGAAGTATTTCAATATAATAAAGGCCATATACGACAAACCCACAGCCAAAATCATACTCAATGGTGAAAGGTTACAAGTTTTCACTCTAAGATCAGGCACAAGACAAGGGTGCCCACTCTCACCACTCTTATTCAACACAGTACTGGAATTCCTAGCCAGAGAAATCAAGCAAGAAAAAGAAATTAAAAGCTTTTAGAATTGGAAACCAACAAGTAAAATTGTCTCTATTTTCAGATGACATTTTATATATAGGAAATCCTAAAGAGTCCACCAAAAAACTGTAAGACCTAGTCAATGAATTCAGTAAAGTTGCAGGATACAAAATCAACATGTGAAAATCAGTAGTGTTTCTATACACTAACAAATAATTATCTGAAAAGAAAATATAAAAAGAAATTCTACTTAAAATAGCATCAAAAATTAAAATAATAAAATGCTTTTGGCATAGAAACAGATGCAGAGACCAAAGGAAGAGAATAGAGAGTCCAAAAATAAATCTCTGCATATACAGTCGACTAATGCTTGATGAGGGAGCCAAGAATACTCGGTAAGGAAATGACAGTCTCTCCAGCAAGTGGTATTGGGA